TTGGTCACAAAAAAAGGACAAATTCTTCTGTATATTAATTCCAAACCGCATATGGCACAAGTGACTATGTAGCATTTAAATAAACTTCGGAAAAACTACATCACCCTGTGTACTCAAGAGACCTCTCTCCAACCAACTTACCCTTTTTCAAGCACCTCGCGAGTTTGAAACACATACCATAGTTTTAGAGAGTTCTAAAAGAGTTCTAGTAATAATTATAAAATAAAATTTATAATAGTATGATTCTATTACTGTAAGAGTACTAGTAAGTATAGTTCTAATAAGAGTTAAAATGCAGTAAAATCAGAAATTGTGAATTGAATATTCCACCAAAAATACAAACAAGCAGAAGAGTTGATTCAATCGTTATAACTTTTTTTTTACGATAAAATTCTTGCTTCAAAGTTTTTTTTATAAAAAATTGAATTATTTTAAGTTTTTTCTACCGTTTTTGATTTCTTTCTTTTACAATTTGTATAGACTTCTTTCTCAAGAAAACAGAACTAAACTGCTATTTACTGAACAAATCTTACTTTACACAAATGAAAATACTCTTTTTATAATATTTGCTACATATTTGGAAAAAAGAGAGAGAGAGAGAGAACTTTCCTTCGACAAAATTTTTTTATTTGATCACCTATGATGTTTTTATTTAAATACTTTTCAATGTTTTATATAAATTTATCAAAAACAATAAAATTTCTAAATTGAATTTCAAAAAAAATGCACCAAATAATTGTAACAAATTACCAACATTATCAATATATTATAAATTTCTTGGTATTAGATAATTGATCAAATTTACAATCAAAAACAATAAAAGAGACTATCCATCGTTTGTTACAAAGCGTATTTATCAGTGTTTCTAAATCTGTATTTGCTTCATTATATCATTAATAAAATCGAAGATGCAGACAATTTTAAAACAAAACAGATAAAAATGAAACCGAAAGTCACATAAATGGCCAAAACTTTATTGTATTTCATCATTTTACTCGTACCCATTACATACGCAGATTGAATCAAAAATTGATTTGTAGTATTCTATATTGACAGGCTCCGTTAATTTTGTACAATTTTTTTAGCTATTGCTAATGAACGTTGGTTAGAACGATTACCAAATTGTAGATTTTGCCCTTAGGATCTTCCAAAGCAGTAGTATTGTTTAATATGAGGGTTTCTCTGATACAATAGAACTGCTAGATGAAATGATGTACAACTACATTCCAGTTCTCTATAGTACATTTCAAACTGTATAGTAACTTTTACAATGAGCCATAGCTATTGTAAAAAAAAAGTTTTTGTTATGTACTACAAAATTGCAAAAGAAAAAAAAGCGAGCAGCCAGAAAGAAAAAATTAGAGATGAAGAACAGAGGTCTATACTACAAAAATAGAAAATTTTAAATATCAAATACTAAATATTATTATTTAAAGATTTATTCTGATATTAAAAATCAAAACTGTAAATACCTTAGGAAGAAAATATTTTTTGTCAAAGTTGTACTCGCAAATGATTTCTAAAAGTCTCATGAATACGTCCCTGAAATTTTTATATGTACCATAAAATCCGGAGTATAGTGCGCACCCACACTTTCAAGCTGCAATTTTTAGTTTTTAGGTATGTTCGCCACATAAGACACGCACCCCCTTTTTTACGAAGAAACCTAAAGTGCATATGCACAATGCTGTTATGTTTTGAAATAATTTATTCGAGGAATTATTCCAAGCTTTAGTAAAAAATAGTGTACTTCTAGAACAATAACTCTTTAAGCTTATAAGGAATGTTATTTCTTTCAAAGAAACAGTATTTCGTTATTTATAGAAATCTAATTGTTTTCTATGCTCATATTTTTTTTTTACTTTTAAAGCTCTTGTTTTTATACCCGGTTCATAATACGCACTCATAAATTTCGATCTTATTTTTTGAGTTAAAAATGCGCGTTATACGCTGGATTTTACGGTATATTTTTTAATGTGTAGTAAAGACGACAAACTAAGCACATTTATAGTTTTATCTAATATTAATAGTTCTTAATTTTTAGTAGTTTATTTTTTATCAAAACTTACGCATTTTGTAAAATCTTCATTAGAAAATGTGCGCTGCACCATAACTTCTATTGTAATTAAAAATATATCTTAGATTTTAATTCATTACCTTCATCATTATTTTTAAAATGATGCATACAAAAATAATTTAAATATACGAGTTAGAATTCCACGTAGAATGTTTTGAAATTTTGCTGTAATTTTCATCAAATTTCAATTAAATTTTACCTCATTTTAATAGATTCAAATTGTCATGTGACTTTCCGTTTGGTATTATTGATTGTTTTGAGTCATAAGTATCCAAAAAATTCTCAAAAAGTCTTACTGACAATGCTTTTTAAGGAACTTCCCAGTGTACTTAAACAAAGATACATTAAAAATGATTTAGTCTCCGTTCTAAAAAAGGTTGTTCACCCACCCAACTTAACGATTGTGACTAGGGATTGCAATACTGGTATTCACAAGTTTAAATACCAGTTTTTAGGTATTGACTAGAAATTTTTGAAATTATCTCCACTATATGTCCTGGGATCACCAACCTAGCAAAATAGTATACGTTTTTGTTTTAATGTCTGCCTAACGGACGAAATTAATTAGACTGTGAATATAAAGTCGCAACTTACAATCAAGAGAAGTGGTAAAATATGTGAATTATCCACGGAGGTGGGCCAAAACCATTATATTACAGCTCAGAGGAATACTGCACACGCGCAGGATTCGTAGTCTGATATCGTATCTATGAAACCAAGGTTGCAGTTGTGAAGAAAGTGCGTAATATTTCGATATTTTTTAAATTGGGGAGTTTGTTATTTACGTTGTGTATCTGCATATCATACTTGTATTTAAATATCATCATGATTTTAGAAATAAAAATGAAAAAGAAGAAAAGAGAGACTAACCAATTCAGATTTGAACCAGTTTAAAGTTATTTTTCGTTAAAATTTTTACCCGTAAACCTTGTTCAAACTCAGAAGGATTTGGTACAGTTATCGAAAATGGTTCACACTAATGTCGATAGTGAAAAGGAATTGTCTCTAAATTAGAATTAGGGATGAGTAAAAAATTTCAACAAACCAAAATACAACACAGTAATCAGTTATATCTAAAACCATCAGACGAGAAATCCATTTATTGGAAGATGAGAGATTTAGTGGTAAATATTTGGAAAAATTCTATCGCGTATTGCTAACAATACTACCAATTAGCGTAGATGCCGAAAGAGTGTTTTTGACAGCTGGTAATTTGTGCACATAAATACGTTCCAGGCTTAATAACAGTACAATTAATGCATTATGTGGTTTATAAGATCACATTTTAAAAATTTGTTATAGTACCCCACTTTTTGTGATTTAAATAAATAAGATGTTCCTTTACTTTTCAGTGATTCTTTATATACTGTTATAATTAAAAAATTACAAATTAATTTTTGGGATAATTATACTTTCTAATAAAACAAAGAGAAACACCAGTATTTTCTTTCTTTTCCTAAAATTTCTACTACCGGTATTAAAACCGGTATCTCGGTATTAAGATTTAAAAAATACAGAATACCGGTAACTTTTGGTCCGATATTTCAATCCCTAATTGTGACTTTGCCGAAAAATAAGGACAGAAGGAAAACAAGAAAAATTTTAAAGCAACTTAAAAATTAGTACAATATTCTAATAATACAACTCTAATATATATTTGAAGAAACAACCAGAAAGCGGAAAAAATGTCATTTTATTTCTCTTTCATTTCCTAAAAACGTATTTTTATTGATACTAACAAAATTCCCTTCCGAAACTCAATGTTATCTCGTAGGTGAATAGGTACCCCAGCAACAGCAATGTTTACTATGTGGCAAAACAACTATTGAAAAATAACATTTTAAAAATTTTCAAAAGAAGAGGCTTTGTTGTGTCTAAATATGAATTCACTTGTCAAGATTTTCAGTATCTTATCGAGAGAAATTGCAATTGTTGAAATCCAGCGGAAATAAAAAGGACATAAAATCAAAAGAACTATGAGGATTTTGAGATATGCGATAGATACATGACACTAACTACTTGTGCATGCCATGCGTGACTGTCTCTATAACTAGTAATAAATAATATTTTATTTAAATATTTAAACTAATAATCTCCTATGTAAATTTTATTCTGAATTTTGAGACAAACGACATCAAAAATATAAAGTTTAGTTCTTTCACAAAGCCTTGCACACTTCTCACGAAAAAATTGTTAGAACACATAACCGGCATTATTTATTTTTATTCCTACTTTAATTTTAATTATTTTTTTTTTGAAATTCATTAAAATTGTTATTTTATTAAAATGGGGGGTTTTTTTTGTAAGTAGTTTAAAAATTGGGCCCTCGTGATTTTTAAGGAATTATTGAAATACTTTGTAAAAATTTCTTGATCCTACGCATGTAATTATTTATAAATCACTAGATTTTAAAAAAGAAAAAAAAAATATTGGTTATTTTAAGTTTGGGCCCTCATATTCTGAAGAGAAATTAATAGGCAAGATATATTTCTTAATCTGATGAGTATCAAAATCTGTTTATAACCAAATTCAAAGAGTAAAGATATGTAATTTTACTTTATATATATATATATATATATAAAATTTGAACAAGAGTTTTTCAATTGTTAAGAAAATGCCTTCTATTTTAGTCCATTCAAGTTCTTTTTTTTAAAACTTTTATAAACCCCGTGCACCACGCAATGTATAACACGGGAGTATACAACAGACAGAAGAGAAAGGATTACAAAACACAAACATCCATGCCTTCTCCGGGATATCCATTCAAGTTCAAAAACAAGTTTTTTAACACTTTTTGTGGATGACACTTGATGTTAATACATTTTTTTTCAAATATTAATTCATTAATTAAATTAAAAATGAATAAATTGTAACAAACAAAAATATAGTACAACAGTACATATAGAAAGGAAACTCCTTCGTTGTTACCCTGTAGCGCAATGGGTAGTGCTTTGGACTTCTAATTCAAAGACTGTGGGATCAAATCCCACCTGGGACGGCTTAATTTCTAAGACTGCGATTTCTTTTTTACTATACTAATTTATTAGAATAATTAAATTTAAGTAATGAATAAATAATAAAAAAACAAAAAAATAGTCCAACACCATATAGGAAAAGAAAAATTGAAAATTGCAAGGAAAATCGCTTTTTATGTTGTCACTTAATACTATGATTCTGTCATATGCATATACATATTTATATTAATTGTAGCTATTTAATAAAAAGTAAATAAAATAAAAAATTTCTGTGTTGACCTATGCAGGAATAGATTTCAAATTTTTTTTATAATACTTGTTATCAAAATTGACTTCATAAATAGAAAATTAAAGCCAATCAAACCCAAAATTGTTCTTGCAAACCTCCATATTCTCTGCTCAGGTAAATGAATAAGTTACAATTCTTATATAAAAAAACCGTTATAGATTTGAAAGATGATAAAACACAAAATAATTACTTTCTTGAATACTTTTGGAAACAATTGCGTACTTTTTAACCCTTTGACAACTCTTACTCATCTACAACATAGTATTGAAATAGGCAACATTGTTTGATTTCCGTCGAGAAAATACATTATGATAAGCTGAAAATGAAAAGTTTTATTCCATTTTTGGTTCTTGCATTTTTTACCTTCAGTTTATGATCTAAATATTTCAAATTAACGAGTTTTATAAATTTTTTTAAAATCAGTTTTTAAACAGTTTTAAATTACATTAACAGTCTTACTTCTTTTTTCCCTTCTTAATTATATCTCAAAATGAAGTAATATTTAAGAGACCCCTTGAAAGAAGGAATTGATCACACATTGGCTAAGCTATAATTATCATGGAAATGAAAATTATCCTTATTTTTATCATTAACGAATATTACTTTGATCAGTAATTTGCTAAAAATAAGGACCCATTAATAATATGGATCCATAAAAAATTCTAAAGGAATGAATTTCTTTAATATTTTTTAAAGATTTTCATTTTTAAATATGGCTTTAGTTGTTATTTTACCTCTAGGACTTAATGCATTTCCGAGCTGGTGCTCAGCATTGTGCCGGCGCATATAGGTAGATACCAATCCTGTCTTTTTGAGCGATTCCTCCGGGGAGCAACTAAGCTTTGATGATGCGAAAGTAGTCTAGATTTTAATTTGCTGCTGAAACAAGCCAAGGGATCTAGAGATCTTAATATGCCACATTATCGCCACTACATGGACACTATCGAATTTTGCATCATGAAAATTCACTGACTTGAACTGGGGTTGGCTGCCTGCAAACTTACAGTATAAGGCCAGCGCCTAACCAACTACGTCACACCAGCAGTTTGTTCATTTTGAATTTATATATATATATATATGTGAACTTTCCTGGGACCAAGAACATTTCACGATTTTTGTAAATATACCCCAACAGCGAAATTATTTTCTATATAACAAACTTTTCTGGTGATTTTTCTCCCTATTTTGAAATGTTCTCGACATTTCAAGTTGTTATTCTCTCTTTAACACATTTATGTTGGTCAAAACCTTGAACTGGTTTGATTAGAAACCATGGGTCTGGGCATTTCACTAAAGTTATTTTAACCCCTATTATTGTCAGTTCACTGAAACATCTTTGTTATCATCACCTTCACCTGGTAGATTGTCTCGTGTTCCATGATGACTCAACGAAGTTGAACAAGTTCAAACCATTTGTAGTGTTGATCAGTCGATACTGGTAACTTCGTCCTTTGGCTCAATGTCAAAGTATGAGTGATTGTGCATAAAAATTAGATTAGCTAAGGAAGTGGATAAGGCGTCAGAAAAGGATTTTTGCTTTAATTATGGTATTATAAACAGCTTATCAGCATTTAAAAATCAAATAGACCTGAAATTATTTTCCTCTAGTTTTCTTATTCAAAACCGTTTAGACATGTATCCTGAAGATGTGTCGACAGGCGTAGGATACACAATGCGAAAAATGTTCCGATCTGTAGACTTTTCGTAATAGAATAATCCAGTGCCTTCAATTGGCAAAGGCAGCTGGGATACGACCAATTCTAATTAGCAATGGTTACTAGAAGATTCAGAAAGACACAGAAAATACACATGAAGGGAATTTTGCTGCATTACACAGATGTGAAACGTGATGTAATTCGCATTTTAAACAAAAA